CTTACGGTGCCGTCGGCCTCGTGCAAGCTGTAAGCTCCCTGCACAGCGTCGCCTTCGCGTGTCTCGTGCTGGGACTTGATGTCACCAGTGTGGTGGTCTGCTACCGAGTACTCGAACGCATAGTGAGGGGCCGCCTATGGAATATAAATCTTAGGTTACGCAACATATATACATATTGTTATATCTGCGACAGAATATAGAGTTGACGACCAATGCTCGGCCATAAAGTATTTATTACACTGTTCAGTACATTTCGAGTTCAAGAAATCTTAGAGGTATTCAATTTCAAAAACCTTCATATCTGTACCTATTTTTGGTTTTCAGCTTGCTAATTTATTATATATGGATTTAGCCAACACTAATTCTTGCCATAATTTAAATCCAAACGTCAAGATAGAGAAACATATCATCAATGTGGTACTATGTACTTTTATAACAATTTTAGAGACTATAAAAATGTAAATAGTTATGAAAACACATACGTAGTAGTCCTGGTGGTTGTCATAATGTCCAGTGTAATGAGTGGGCTGGTGTTGCAGTACCACAGCTGGCGCTCTGTGTATCTGTCCGTGGTTCTGTTGCAGGACAATGCTTTGTGATGATTGCGCATGCCCGCGACCGTATCCATAACCATTGTGTTGTCCAGATGCCAAAGCAAGGACGGTAGCAACAGCGATCACCTATAAAAAAATGTGATTAAAATTAAAGTTCCAATAATCTAATGTTGGGAAATGTCACAATACAACTGTTCGTTTAGATCGTGGGTTCAAACCCCGCTATTTATCTATTATCGTGAACTATTATTATCGGCATTTTACGACAAAATCCTAACTTGGAGGTTATTTGGAATAGTGACAAGAAATTTCTTTCAATAATAGATGCCCATTTCGCGTCATTTAAACATATTATAAAATATTTGAATATCGAATTATTACATTAAATTAAAATGTGTTTGGTATTTACTTAATAAATAAATAACATTAAATTGTTTACCTTGATGAACATTTTTTTAAATTGTTAATGTTTCAGTTGCAAGGAAGTGTGGGATTGTAATGATAACATATCGAGATTAATTCGCCTTTTATACTTGTACAAAAGACAATTTTTTTTGGGCACTGATTTATCAGATAACCGGTTGATTATTTAATTCAGCCTCATGTCACTTCAAGAATTAATTGAAAAAATTTTGATTATGCAATATGAAGTATTGATATTTTAGGTCACATACCTAAATACCATTCGTTATTGTTTCATTTTATGCCGTGGAATATTATATTAAAAAAATATATATTTGAATCTCGTTGATATTGTGCAATATTTTACGATAACATTCCTGTATAATTGTTTGATCATGTTTGCTGCATAAAAGATCGTAGGCGCTCATTTTTCTCATTGACAATTGTTTTTTTCAATTTAAATTATATTTATTTGTGGAACTAGCTGGGATTATTCTCTTATTTGCCATACAAAACTCTACCAGAGACTTTATATACCCATTTAAACTTCTATATGGATTACAAACAAGATAAATTTTAAGTTATATGATAAAATGGGACATTCTGAGAAATTCACATGAAAAGTTTATTTTTGTAGATAAATTGTAAAACATGAAAAAGTGATTAAAAGAATAAAAACAATATTTATTTGTACTAAATTTGTAACAAAACGATTTATAACAAAATTGATTATTTAACAACGAACGGATAACAACGGCTTATAGAAAAATATCAACATTTATGTACAACGTGTCATTGGACCAATTCATTTAGTGATGCTCGTGCTTAGGAACTATATGGTGAGTGCTGTGCTTCACGTCGGCGTGGAAACTGGAAAAAGGAAACAAAATCTATAGAGACTTGTTACATTTAAATCACACAATAGAAGGGATGAATCACATTTTGTCTACCAAAAATACTAATTTTTTTTTCAGGGTAAGGTAAGGCATTAACTTGCAAAATATTCATCTTTTGAAAGGACTGTCTTGATATATGCACTGAAGTGATCTTCATATTAGTGTTGTGAGTAATTGAAATCCTCAAAATTTGTATTTACCCGCTGTGCTTATCACCGTGGTACTCAACAACTCTGACAGAGCCATCTGGCTCGTGCAGGCTGTACACGCCCTTCACCACATCGCCATCTCTGTACTCATGCTGATGCTTCTTGTCACCCGTGTGCGGGTCCTCTACTTTGTAGTCGAACTCGTATTTGGGGTGCGCCTGGAATGTATAAACATTTGGTTCGAATACATTTTTACGTTTAACAAGAACAACAAAATTATTTATATCAGTAACTTATATCATCAAAGAGCGAAAAAAATAATTTGACACTTAAATAGGTTTTTACCACACTAACAATTACACTTTTAAAATTAGGGGAAACTAATGATAATTATTATTCATACATAGTAGTCTATAGATCCATGTCCGTGACCGCCATCGTGTCCATGGCCTTTTCCATCGTGGCCTTGTACATGCACCACTTCGGCAGGTCCGTCGTGACGAGAGATGTGCTGCGATGAGAAGGCATGACCATGTCCATGACCATTGTCGTGGTACGCAACCGCTACAGCAGCAAGGGCCGCGATGCACAAAACCTGCAAATTCAGTTCATGTCCCATTAAATTTTGCACTTTGTCAACACTCGAAAAAGCACTGGAAGGTACTTCACTACCTTAGAGATCATTTTGATATAATTTTCCTGAAGTTCTAATGCTAATGTTCCTAAGATCGGATCTTAACTGATACGTATTGTCAACGAGTTACCTCTTTTATATTGATAAGTAAAGTAACGAGCCAAGGTAATATTGATTTCACTCTATACTTATTGTTGAATATTATTCAACATCGGCACTGGTGTGCGTAGTGTTTTTGCAACTAATTTCGTCAAAGCAATAGCTCTTACATCCGTCACTGGAGTAGTGGTAGTCACAGAAACAATAATTAGAAGTAATCGATATATTGCGCAGTAAAAAGACACAAAGACCTAAAGTTAATTGAACGTTCTCCATCAATATGCCAATGAGGTCTATTCGCTTTGCTGAACACGCTTTCTAAATAAGACATATTATTTCATAACAATTATTACATTTCATCTAATAAAATTACAGACTAAAAATATGTCGTAATATTACACAATAATTATGGACTATAGAAACTTTTATATTAACATTTTAAAATCAATCCAAAAATCTCTTAATTGACTTTAATCTTCTTTGTCATCTTTTATTAATTCCTATAGTCCTTTACATCGTCATTTTTTTTATAGTTATCCCTTCGTTTATTCATGCCCTTGTTTATAATTCACCATAGTTATTGTTGCTATAGTTGATTTTTTAACCTTGACCAAACTAAGTTCAATGTAACTGGCACACCCTACTGTTCTCTATAGGTCGTTGGTATAATTTTGTGTTACCAATTTATCTTTACAAATATTTTAGTCTGGCTTTAAAAAATCTGAATGCAATACTTTTCTGCGTGTATCCTAAACTCGAAGATTATGTTAGAGCTATATTGAAACACATTTATCTTTGATATAAATATTTATTTCAGTTATAAAGTTAATAAAAAAAATGTTTTAAATTAAAAAGAGATAGAACAATTCATTTAACAATAAATTTCTTTCTATTAAAGAAATTACGAATTGCCTCAATTAAAATGAATAGGAATGTAAGAGAAATGTAAATCTAATTATATCACAGCTATTCTTCGTTCTTGTGCTCTTCTTCTTCTTCTTCTTTATGTCCGCTTTCTTCTTCCTTATGTTCATGTTCATGCTCATGTTCATGTTCGTGTTTGATGTGATGAATTTCATGTTTCACATTCGCGTGGAAACTGAAAACATACACAAGTATATTAGTTTATATAATTTTGCACGGTTATTACCAACCTATTAAAATTATTGATTAAAGAAAAAAAAATCAATCCAATGATTTAATTTTTTGTTTCTTATTATTTAATAAAAATATTTTAGTCTTCTCGAGTTAAATGTTCCAATGTAATTGGGTGAAACTGGAGTGCATAAAAAATCAAACTAACCCAGTCTCGTCATCTCCGTAATATTCGACAGTCCTGACAGAGCCATCGGGTTCATGTAGAGAATAAACACCCTTGACTTTGTCACCCTCACGTTCCTCTTCTTGGTATTTCAAATCTCCGGTATAGGGATCGTTTACTTTGTATTCGAACTTGAACTTTGGATGAGTCTGAAATAAAAAAAGTACATGTTTTACTAACGCAATTTTAGCAGCCATTGATTTAAGTTAAGTATCGTAAAACCTCTCAGTTTAAATTATTTATCTTTGAATAAATACCGTTAATATTAAACATAGTATTTGTACCAATAATATGTATTTTTTTTTAATTTCTTAGCTATCTTAATCTAATAGATTACCAAATCCTAAAAATATTTAAAAAATATGTCTGCTTGTCTGACCGCAAATCCGTATTTGTTCCGGGTAATCTCAGAAACAGCCGCTTTTGAAGGGAAGGTTGCGCTTGCGAAGTTGCAGACGACCGCTAGTGTTAAAATAACCAGGACCTCAGAACAACAAAATAAAAGATTCTTACGTAATAATCGACGTAATGTTCATGTTCGTCGTCTCCTTTGACGAGAACTTTTTCTGCAGGACCGTCTTCGCGGATGACATACTGGGACGAGTACGGTGGCCCGTGTTCCTCTTCTGCGATTACGAAAGCGACGAGCACAGCGAGACACAGGACCTGAAATATGTTAAATGAAATTTAAATTAATTGTTTTTTTTTTAATTTAGTGACACTAAAATTCCATATTTAAAACTCTGTGTTCTGTCAATCGCTTAACCTGTCGCTTACTCATTCATAACGCATTAAAACTATAAGTATTTTTTTAAATTAATCGGTTCGTAATTAAACTAGTTTACTAAAATGGTATCGTTTAATCGTATTAGGAAGTTGAGAGTAATTGGTCCTAACCGGACCTTAACTAAATATAAAACAGACAGACAAAGATTTTAGTAAACTTAACAATCATTAATTTCAAACCAAATAAACTTAAAAAACTAAAGTAAAATTTAAAAAAAATCTAAAAATCGATTTAACAATGCAAAAAATGTTATGATATGTGAGATTCGAACTTGTTTTTCGTTTATTAAGAATTTTACGTGCCGTACGTGTGATTTGTGCCCATGTAAAATACTTTACTCGTCAAAATCGGTTCAGTCGTAAAAATTCATACATACGCGCAAAAATCATTGGAATATTGACTATAATAGCAAAAAGATTTCAGAATAAAAAATCCTCTTGAGGTTTATCATTAAGATGACTATTAATCGGGACCAGGGCTAATAATTACACAAATGATACTGATAATTTAACAATTCTTCAAATATTTTCACTAAATATCCACTTCTTCGTCTCAATGCTTGTCATCTCCAGTTTACAGAAGACACGGTACTAAATTGCAGCGACACTTTCAATCCACTAGTTGTAAATACACTTTAAATTGTAGGTTTAGTGACTCTATCACTACATTTATAAACGTAAAATTAATATTATAAATACCTTTGAAATCATTTTATTTTATATGTTTTAATATTGTATATAACACTTGCTCAGCGGCAAACTGATGATGAAAATCAATAAGCATATGCTTTTATATTAGCAATAAGGGTAGCTAACCAAGGTAAACGATTTCACTATAAGTGGTGTATGATGATCGCCGTTTAACATTTATAATGTGCTGTATTTGTAATAATGATTTCATAAAATAGAATCAATAATATGACGAACTCACACGAAAAACGAACAAAGTTTGACGAAACCCATTCATGATGTGTAATACGGTAACGCGATTGTACATTGAGGAAATCCAAAAGGATTAATTATACCAGCTATATCTAAGGACGGAAAACATAAACGGAAGCAGAATTAATGCTATACAATACAATCATTGTCTTAAAAAATAAATGTGCAAAGTGTTGTATTAATGTAGAATTCCGTTAAAAAATATCAAATGAAAACAAAAAGCAATCAATGTATGGAAATTCCAACGGGATAATGCCGCCAGCCTTTTGGGAACCCTACCGTGAGCGCAGCGATTTGGGGTCGATTTTTTTATTAATTTTGTTTTATTTTTAGTTTGGTTTACTTTTAGTATATAGTTTATTTAATATATAATAGTTTTATTAATTCATTTATTTTGTAGTGGTTAGTTATTTAGTAAGATTATATTTTAATTTATAATTAGGTTAAAATAGTACATATAGATATATTATTATTTGTTTCCTCATAAAACTGTCACAGATTAAAGAACATATAGTTAATATTTAAGATATAAAATAAAATATTTAAAAAAAACGAATAATTTACTAAAATATATTATTAAAAAGAGTCCCTTTAGGCAAAGTCCCGAAGATACTGGCAGCGTTCCCCTTTGGACAGCTAAACTAATTCTTTGACCGAGGTAGCTGCCAGCTCTTCGGTCCCCTGTGATGTCGATTATTTTTATGGGATTTCTTGTATAGATACTGTATCTAAACTGTAAACATATGGTAAACTTGTAAACAAAATATATTGAAATGATTCATGTATGGAATAAAATCCAATCATCAATGTTATAAAAATGGATTCAATTGTATCATTTAGTTATTTTTTTTTCTGACATCTGTATAAAATGCAGAGACTGTATATTCTGAATAAAAATCATTATTATAATACGATGTATGGTCCACTGAGCCTTGGAGTCTTAGTCAGGGGTGACTAGGCCATAGTCAACCACGCTGGCCTAGTATAGGTTGGTTGACTTCACATATATTATTGAATTCTTTCGCAGATTTGTTGTACATCACAATGTTTTCCTTTACCGTAAGAACGTCCGATAAATGTCCATATGTAAATCGAAAAATACATTGGTACAAGTCAGGATTCAAACCCAGTACCTACAGATTACTAGTCAAGTGTTTAACCTCTGAACCACAGACACTCTTATAACGTATGGTTAGGGTGACCCTCGAAGTGTTTAGTAATTATAATTATTAGTAAAAAAATATCAAAATTTTAACCTTCAAATAACGAAAAACAGAGTATCATGTCATGGAAATATTTGCGATATTTAAGTATGATTAAGTATAATTATGTTTATAATGAAACTAGTATTAGAAGCGGATCTCGTTTTCGGTTAAAAAACGTTTATCTGTTATCCTTCAATGTAGATATAGCAAACAGTGCATAGAAATCGTTGCTGGAATACGTAGAAATGAACACGCTATTAAATTTTTTATTAGGATACTTAAGATCCATAATATTATTGCGTTTAGCAATGGATATAAAGAGAACCGAAACTGACTTTAGAAATTAATCAAACAGGCGAGTTGTGCCGTTTCGTTTGAAAAAATCGGGCACCTATTCTGATTACTAATATGTCCGGTAGACGTATTGTAGTCCGTTCTCCACCCCGCTCTACATATTTTCATTCGCTCACAAAGAATTTAAAATATAATTATAAAATGTTGTAATAAAATCTTACTAATATTATAAATCGGAATGATTAGATGGATGGATGGATGGATGTTTGTTTAAAGATATTTTCATAACAACTCAACGGATGTTGATGAAATTTGGCACAGATGTAAAACATAGTCTGGAAGAACACAAAGGTTACTCAATAAGTTTTTTTTTAATTCCGCGGGGACGGAGTTGCGGGCGACAGCTAGTTGTTACATAAATGTGGATAATATGCAATAATTTGTTTGATTTTCGGACACATTGAATGAAATGGCAGTTACCCGTGACCTCAATTTAGTTAATAAAATTTAGTTATTAATGCCGGCTATGTCATCTGGGGATAGAATAATTTTCCAACAGTGAAATAAATTTTCTAATCGGTTAAGTATTTTCGTAGCTTATGCAATGCAAAAACCAAACAAAAATGTTTCCTTTTTATAATAATAGTATAGATAAACATCTGTTTTTGTTTTTCGTTTCACAAAACACTTCATCCATAAATAAAACATTTTTACATATGAACTCAAAACCCATACCAGGTTACGTACAAAATAAGTTTCGTAAGAATAACGTAAACAACTTCCTCGCTTTTAACATTAATATTTTCGAGTATTCATTTATAATTTGTTATGTTATGTATATAAATGTTTACATTTTATATAAGATATGAATAGTAAGTACGGTGAAGTCTGGAACATAAAGTTACTATAGGTCAGTGTTATGCAAGAACTTTAAATCGAAATAACGGTGTTTTCAAATTAAATCTAACATTATCAGTTACACGTTAAAGTCCTCTGTGTATTTTGTAGTTCCTATATCAATATTAAGTGATCACTGTTTTACTTTCGACAAATATCAGAAGTCTAGTAGAATAAATAATAGGAGATCAATAGTTTGAATTTCGATTGATTATAATACATACATAATTAAATATTTAACAACATTTATCGTAACATAAATTGCAAGTAAGCTCTACTTTACGTTAAAGCAATCAATCATAAATTGTATCACGCAATGATTATATAAATAAGCCTAAAATGAATATAAATATGACTAAGATAGCATTTCATAATGGTGGAAATAAAAAAAAATGTGGTTCATGGCTTACAGAAACCGTGCCGGCCGACGATTCACACGAATAATTGACAAAAACTACGCTAGCATTGACATTGCATTAAGGTTACTTTCAAATGTCGGAAACGAACAAGTTTTAACTGAGCTTAGACACTCATTTATACGTTAGGTGATTTTACATTACGGCGAGTCTTCACTGTCGTTACACCATATAATCCTTTTCATCTTAGAAAAAACATAACCCCTAGGAATTGGATCACACGTGATTAATAGGCGATTCCTAATGTCACTTTTTTTTCGAGATATGGAAAAGTATTTAGTTATCAAATTATGGTGCTGTGGTGGTTTTGTATTGCAAGTTGTCATTGAATGACACAATTTAGGATATAGTTAGTGGTGCTAAATATTTTTTTATTTATAGTTTCTAAAAAAATCCCCTGCAGTCTTTTTTGGTGCATGGCAATAATTAAAATTATACATCCGAATGTTTAGATGGATGGATGCATGTTTGTTTTAAAGTATCTCCAGAACGGCTCAACAGATCTCGATGAAACTTAACAGGGATGTAGAACATAGTCTGGAAGAAGCGGACGACCGCTAGTGTTTGTGCACATGTGACAGAATATTTGAAATACACGTTGAAAAAGATAATTCGATAGATCACATAATGAGTACTCAAATGAATCCGGATTAACGAGTCATTAGAAATGTTTAAATTTATTTACCATGTTAATGTTTCAATTAGAAAGTTTTTATGTAACAATATAAAAGCGAGGGCTTAAAAATATCGAATCAAATATATATTTTTTGCCTTTATGATGACGCGTAGTTGTTTATCTTATTTGATATAATAAACTGTCTTCTAAAATAGTCTTCATTCATCAATCAATGCAAATTACTTGCTCATTTTGAAATCAGTCCGTATCTAAAATGTTGTGTCGGACGTAAAGACATCTGCATTAAATTTGAATGCTAATACGAAACATAAAACGGAATCAATTACGTGTTAGAAATCGTATTACCTACAAAGTAAACCGTTGTATCCTTTGCAACTATAAAAAAGTTTATTATCTTATAATGAAGTGCTGTATTAAAAACATTTTTAAAATTCTATTAGAATAGTTAATGTTAATTAGCGTTACTAAAAATAATCAATGATTTAGACTAAGATAAATTAGTTTTTTTATTATCCAAGTCCAACATTGTACGTATTATGGGTATTAAGGAACATTTCAAGGGACAAAGATTTTCAAATTGTTGCTGTTTCCAGTTACAATCCTGTTTTAAGCATAATATTGTAAAACAAAATTAAACTAAGAATACCAATAGCATAAAATAGAACTCTTGTATCCGTGAACTAAATGTATTCTTAGTTACCTAAGATAAGTCACATGGATTATAAAATGCAAGTCATCTGCAGTAGATACCCTTGATGTTGATGTTCATAAATAGTAAATATAAAGGTTGGTTAAAGATATAAGGACGACCACCAGATATGTTGTTATTTAATTTAGATTAAATATTATAATTGTCGTGTACAATAGGAATTGTTATCATCGCTTATTTTGGCTACATACAGGATTCAAATTATTTTTTACTTTGACATAAATTTGAAAAATGTACCCAGAATTTTAATTTATCTTATGACAAAACTTATCACTTTATCATAAAATATAAAGACAATTAAGACGAAGACATTGTAGAAATGCGTTACTAGGTATTATAGAGGTTAAGTGCTTGTAGAATTTTAAAGTAAAACTTCGAAGAGATTTTATCTTTAAATTAGCCTAATGGGTCGAATTTTTCGTTTTAATATTCTGAAAACATTCAGCGCTAAACAATTTTCTAAAAAAGTGCAAATATGGAGAAAACGGACTTACTCTGATAGAATACGAAATTTTATAGACCATTCTTCATGAAAATTTTGAATCGTAGGACGATTTGTAAACTTTAGTATAAGAAAACTTAATACCAACATTTATTTGAAACTGAAAATATAATTAAATTATATCAGTTCGATATGTTTTTAGTTTGTATTTTTCATAAGAATAGTGTACTTTGAGTTTTACGTTTTCTCTGAATACCGAAACTACAAAGGTATTTTAGCAAACAGTTTAAGAAATAATATCGCTTAAATATTTAATATGCTTATAACGTATTTATATGAATAACTAGCTGTCGCCCGCGACTCCGTCCGCGCGGGATTAAAAATAGCTGTTGGCCGATTCTCAGACCTACTCAATATGCTCACAAAATTTCATGAGAATCGGTCAAGCCGTTTCGGAGGAATATGGGAACGAAAATTGTGACACGAGAATTTTATATATAAGATAAAATTAACATTTTTAGAGACAAAATTGAGGTACAATAGCAACAACCTTCACATTGGTTACATAAATTACGTCACGAGAAGTGTGCGCGTGCCGCGGGTTACAAGTTGACGCCCCGAGCGATAGCAGATTGATACATTTCTCTCTCGTAACGTCTCCAGTATATATTGGGCATTAAGCCTATGCTAATTCATCAGTTTCACAGCGGAAGTCAAAGAAGAAGGATCAACATGTTAGCTAAAGTTTGTGTTACTTATTTAATAAATAAAATATCCTTAAAAATATTATTAGCTTAACTACTTACATCCGTTTAAATTTCAGATTTTATTATTCACCGTGACCATATCAGCTATATCCTGTCAGGAGTACAAATACAAAATCAAGCCGATAGTTCACGAGCAGCCACAGGAATACAAGTATCAAACCGAACGTCCTTATGTGTACCACCAGGAACCAGCGCCAATTCACGAGGAAGAGAACCAAACACCCGTTGAGAATCAATACCGCCACGAAAACGGACATGCGATATCATCGCAGAGTATTGTCCATCATCAACCGCAACCTGCTCACGAATCTCAGGAGACTTACTCGGAGTACACACCGGAACCAGTGAACTATAAGCAATATTTCCAAAGCCATGAGCACGTGAGCGCTCATCAGCCACCTCAGCATCAGCCAACTGTACAAACAGTTCACTACCCGGCAGTGCGCCATCAACTCCACGCTCTACCTACCCCTGTACGTCACGAGCCTCCGACTCATTATGTTCAGGCTCATGAACCCGCTCCTCATCACTACGCGCCTAAGGTCCACCAATCGCCCGTCTACCACCACCCAGAAGCCCCCAGCCACGACTCTCACGAGGAGCTCGTCGACTATTACGTAAGTTCATTGCTCGTGTGTGTCTAATACAAATCGTTAATTCATTCACGGATGTCCGGCTCCTGATTTACACTTACTTTCTACTATTTTATTTACATCACACTTTATCCATTTTAATCACGAACTAGATCATTTGCAGCATTCGAATAGAGTTATGTAAATTGGTAAAATTCCAATTCGTTCTAATAATTGATCTTATGTTTGTAGGCTTACCCGAAGTACCAGTATGAATACAAAGTAGAGGACCCACATACCGGAGACAACAAGTTCCAGCATGAAATCCGTGATGGTGACAATGTAAAGGGAGTGTACTCGCTGCAGGAGGCTGATGGTTCAATCAGAACTGTTGAATACAGCTCTGACAAACATCACGGGTAAATAAGTTTCTTTCACTTCCATTTAAAATATTTAAAAAGAAAGTCGTTATAAAACTGACAAAGAGCAAAAAATACATTTTAATTATTTACTGATCACTGATGATGATTGTTTAACTGATGATTAATTAAATGTTTTCCAGATTCAATGCTGTGGTGAAGCACTCAGCGCCTGGCCACCACGTCCAGATCGAGAGCCATCATGAAAATTAATCCTAATATTTATTACTATTTAATTTAATAGTGTTTGATCTTTAATTTGTTACTAGATGTGTATTTAATGAGTTTTAATTTATTTCTTGAATTTAATTAAAAGCATAATTATAAAAATGACTTTATATCCCAAGTTCATATTCAGTCAAAAGCGTATTTATAAGTTATTATTGACCTCGTATAAGTTTGACTGGTAATGGTTTGATAGAATTTTAATTGCCTTGATCCTGAAAGTCCTAATATGGCATCAAAGGTAATTTTATTTTTATTCGTTTATAACTCGTTACGTTATAGCAGTCTTTTTGTTCATTTATCTACCAAATAAATTTGGATTGAGTTTTACTATTTTGTGCGGTAGTGTCTATTATTCACTTCTTGGTTATAAGGAGTTTAATAAAAAGTTTCAAATTATGAAAGTAACAATATATTAATTTACATTCGTTTTAGCAGCAAAAATAGAAGTCTTTGAACAGCACCATAGTAGGCATTACGTTTTACGTTTCATAAAATGCATACACCTAAAATACTTTCACGTATTGTTACTTAACAAAAGTAATAATACGTGCGCAAAACTTACAGACTAAAAGAAATTATAATACAAAAGCGAGAGTTAATACCTTTCAAAATAGATACTGATGGCAAAAATGTCTTAAAGTTTGGGCGTCGAAGTCCCAGTATGGATACATCTTATGAAACGTATAGCCTCTAAGCAAATGAATGCTTTTAATGCATACCAATGCGCAGCCCGTTTTAAACCATAACCACGAAGCCTCCTAGTTTCGTTGTAGCATTCCGTCCGTGCTTAACCTAAGTACAATATACGCAAGTAATAAATAATCGTCGTTGTTGGTGATTGCTAGAGTGGCTGATGAGTTCCCTAGCCGAGGAGGTGGCCATGGCCGTAGGCGGGAGCGGCGACCACCGCATGCGCGGTAGCGGGATGCGCGGCGTGACCTTGTCTGCGCACCACTGCGTTGAAACTGGGAGGAATAATTTATAACGATTAATACACCAGTATTTCGTAATGAAACAACTGCAATATGCCTGATTCGCGAATAATTTCACCACTTTAGTAAACGTATGACGATATTTCTAGCAACCAGCATTGTATTTTTGTTAGAATTGACGATCTTCGTAAAAAAGTAAATCCCAGTATAGGTTACTTTATGGTATTTGTTTCCAAAACTGTGCTAGATTTTTGGTAACGTAACAAGAGTAACTAAAGTCTTTTTTTTTAATTCTTACCCATTGTGGTCATCGGCGGTGTAGTCAACAGTGCGCACGGTACCGTCAGGTTCAACCAGAGAGTATTGTCCCTTCACAACGTCGCCGTCGCGCGCCTCCCACTGGTTCTTCTGGTCGCCGGTGTGGGCGTCAGTTACTCCATAGTTGAATTGGTAGCTAGGGTGAGACTGTAACGCAAATAGACAATTTTGGGATTAGAAATTCTAGGTATATTGTACTTTCATAATTAAAGTTGTACTAAACAGACAAAGTAGGTGAACCAATTGTTGTCGATAAGTGATCGTCGGTTTTCTTTAAGACTTTGTAGTATTATCAATTATGGTACATGTTATGAGTTCAAAATTAAGCTCACAAGACTTTTAAGCATTCTTTTTTGTCAATTAATAATTAATAAACCTTTCTCCGAGGTTTTTAGTATGCAATTTCACTTCCAAAATACTAGCACCGAATGTAAAATTTGATATCATCACGCAATTGTTTTATATCGTTAACTGCATTTCGAGAAAAGGATATTGTATTTTAAATATCTGAAAATATAATTAACTTGTCAGTGTATGCTAACGAAATATGTATTGTGTAATATACTTACATAAATTTCAACAGGGGCAGCGTGGGCGACAGGGGCCGCGTGCAGCAGCGGTGCTGCGTGCGCCACCACAGCACCGTGGCCTGCAATTATTCGTCATAAAGTCATGAGTAACAAAAAAATTATTGCCCACAATTTCGTGACAATCAATGGCAGCAAGGGATAGTGTAGCTGTTCAACAGTGAAAGATTTTTTTTAAATCGGTTCAGTAGTGGAATATTCAATGCAAACAAATAATCAAATCTTTATTCATTATTTATAATATTAAGATAAGTCTGTGACTGAAACTCTAAGATTAAAGATATTATTTAGTACAATAGTCTCGGCAGTAACGTTGTAACAAGTAAAACATTCTTACCGAGTCCACCTAATCCGCCCAATCCCAATCCGTAAGCTGGAGCGGCGAGGGCTGGTGCGGCGTACGCTCTGGCGTATGCAGGAGCGGCATGTCCGAGCACTATGCTCTGCGAGGAGATAGCGGCGCCATGGGGGCTCGCAATCAAACCAGCGCGAACAACGCTCAGAAGAGCACAAGCAACAAGAACCTATTACAAAGAAAGCAAATAAAACATCTCTGGGTTAAGACCTATTATGTCTATTTTATGACTCTCTACAATAGCTCTTTGGTCTAATATCGTCCTGCAATTATATTTGGGCAAAGTAATAAAGAGTAAGTAGTTTGAAGGAAACCTTTCTTATCATATTTACAAAAAGTGTCGTATGTCTGTTACTAGACAATTTAATCGCTTATCACTAAATTTATCGAGTTTATTAGGAGTCTGGGTCAAATTATTAAAGTATTTAAAAATAAGACAAAATATAAAATTGTATTATGATTTGTTCTATGTGACAGTTACCTTAGCAATCATTTTATATGATTTTATTTTTTAAATTTGGCACGGTACTTCACGTTAAGCACTAGGGCTTGATGTGTGCCTAAATCTAAGATAACTGGGTTTATATAGGGCCGTATGTCCTATACGCAGTTACAAGGGCTCGCCTAGACACCGCAGCCAAACGCAGGAATCTATGTATGTTTGTTGTACACACATATAGTGGGCGCTGCCCGCGAATGAACCAAGTGTTAGGACTGAATAATATGGATATGCCTAACATTAATTTAATAAAATTTTAATTTTTAAACAACATTTTTTTACAGTGAATTATAAAATAAATGTATCTTTTAGAAATATTAGTGATAAAGTGAATTCGTTTGAAATAGACATTCTAACTTAAACTATTTAGAAATCGTCTTATCGTTGATCTCTACCGACTTTACACTTGCAGCGTCTATGGTGTCAATGAAAATAAAATGAAAATTTGTATTAATACATTTTTTATATGTATGTGATATCTTATAAATACATTAATATTAACAAATAATTTTCGCGTCAATGGAGATTCACAATAAGGAACTATGAAATTGTATTTTAAAAAAGAGTTTTAATATTTGAGGAATATCAATATAATGATATCGTGTATATGTTACAACTTAACCAAGAATTGGTATCAGAGGTAAGTTCATACGGATATCTATGAGAACAGAGTGTGGAATAAATTAAATTAAAGTATACACGCACATTGCAACTACCACTTTGATAAGTATAAATTGTGTAATGGTGCCAAGGACGCTCTAATACTTACTAAACTCTTTTATACCCTATTGCAATAGAATTTTTGTAGGCGCCTTAAATCAAAAGTAACAAAAACGATTCTAATATAACGTTTAAAAATAATCGTGTATTAATTTTTTAGTGTGTCAATAAATATTCTTGTTTTAACCAGTAACAGATAATATGTGGGATTTCCATCAAGATATCTTTATTACTGATCACAACAATCAATCCTTAAGAGTTATACGGTTTTCTTCTTCATTTCCTTTACTATAAATTGTTACAGTTACTCCTTTACTAGCTGTCGCACACACCTCCATCCGCACAGTAATAAAAAAAAACTTAATTAATAGCTTATGTGTTCTTCTATACTATGTCTACATCTATGTCAAATTTCAGCGAGATCCATACAGCTATTCTGGAGATACCATCAAACAAACATCCATCCATTTTAAGCATTCGCATTTATAATATTATAAGTAAGATTAAGGCTCCGAGCCCCTCGGTGGGGACGTATAGTGAGCTGATGATGATGATGACGATGAAGTAAGATTTTTTTCACATATGGAAAAAAGTTGCATCTGCGGTTCCTCTGGTGTTGCTGATGTCCATGAGCGTCGTTGAACACCTCGGTGTTCCCGCTGCTCGTTTGCCCCCTTATAAAAAAGCAGAATTCAAGTATAAGATAATAAATAAGGTATAAATTTGCCACGTGTTCGTGACTTGAAGTGCACACCCTGTATAATTACCGTTACTATGGTTAATCATGCACACGCTACGATTAACCGTAGATCGATTAAATTCTTCACGCTTAGTAATTTACACCTCTTACTAAATATAATATGGAAATTTAACACGCAATTGTATACTGTCTAAAGTGTTAAAAATTTTTTCTTAGTTTTTTAAGTGTTAAGATCCATCAAGCATTTAATTCTCTATTAAGCAAAGGAAACGCTTAATCTTTACGCGTTTCCTTTTCTGTAATTGCCACGTTGAGAAATCGATATTATAAATTCATATTTTAATTACTAGTATTGAAAAAAGTATTGATAAAAATTACACAATATTTGTAATTGTAGTACAATTCTAGACACCACTATTACAAAATGATTACTCTGTCCTTATTGTGGTTAATCTATAATTAATATTAATCTACTGTTATTTGACCTCAAGAAATAGCGTCTCATTGTTGCCTAATCTCGTCTATCAGTCGCCTAAACTGTTTTTCAGTCACCTATTCTTGTCTGTCAGTCGCCTACTCTCGTCTGTCAATCTCCTAGTCTCGTCTCACAGTCGCCTAGGCTCGGGTGTCAAGTTGCGACGTATATGACTCATCCACTTGATGCCATTCACCTTTCAACCTCGCTTTAATATGTAAATAGCATAATTTAACACTTAACATACTAAAGGTCGGAGTTGTATACTATTAAAATTTTAATATGCAAATTATTTGTGAACAAGTGTTTAAAAAAAGCTTAAAGTAGAATTAGTCAATTAATTTAAACTGTTTTTTTAATTAACATGCAAAAAGTAAAGAAATTAAGAATAATAGTGAAACAGCAGCTATTATTTTTTTTGTTATATATTTATTTTGATCATCGTAATATTAAAAACATATTTATAGTTAAATCTTATGATATTGATAGAGCGGTTTTTAGCAGTCCCAAAAGATTTATATCATGTGTGGTTATAGTATCCCATAAGCTATATTTTGAAAGTACAAAGAAACTATATCCTTGGTGCTCGACAGAATGGCAGCATGAACAAGATCACCTTGTCTCATATGTGGTACAATTGTAGTTGTTTCTTTTAAACTAATTATCTATATATGGTTGTTAGGTATATCATTTACAAATATAGAACTTTTAAATAAGTATAAGTTAAATAAGTAAAGTATTGTAAATGGTTTCACAATGGTTTAAAAAAAAAACAATTAACTATTTAACAAAATGTCAAATTAATTGAATGATTAGAATACAATGGATTTCTGAGATCAATATCCCCGTTTAAAACATATTGTTATCTCTACTTTGTCAAAGATAATGACAGGGATGACGATATGTTTTATACTGAGATTTTAATCTGACAAACCCACACTAACTGAATGGTTTCATATTAACAACCTACAAGAGGTGAATGGCGCATTTTTCTTAAGGTTTATGTAACACGTAGTGACGTAGTTCCGAAACCGTTTTGTACAACAGAATAGGTATGGACGATCGGAATAAATTAGTATCAAATAGATAGATATTAGTTTATAGTCCAATAAAAAAAAATGTTGGTAAGATTTTAGTGTTTTACAACATTATAAAATCAAAGCCTAACTTTCATGTGTCTTAGTACAATTTATTGCCTTAATAACCAGATATTATTCGAGTAATGCGAACACATAAAATTTTATCTATGGTAGGTTGTTAGTAATCTTGGGCATATTTGCCGACTGCTTCAGTGGGAAAAGAAATTACTACCTATATAAGTATATGTATCCATTTTATATTTATAGATATTTGGTCATTTATCTTTTGAAAATAAATGAATTCATACAATTTATCACATCAATCCTTCTGGGAAAACATGTTTAAAAATTTGTGGAATTCATTACTGCAGGCGTTGTAGTGCACTGAGGACATTTTAATGTAAAATTTTTAAATCATTTTAGCTTTTCTTAAATATTTCTTTTGCCTTAAAATTATCTGAAATAGTGATTATTGTATTAAAATTATAAGTTAAGGATACAACTCTCTTTTAATATTAAAGTTGGAGAGTTAAAGAAAAATTAATAACTAGAGCCATATAGAAAGAAATTAACATTTAAGGAATGCATCCGCGTACATTTATAATTTAACGGATCGTAAAGATTACTTAAACTAATAGTGTAAACGGTTAATTTTAATTTAAGTAAAAAAAAATGTCCCAAAACTGTCACAATCGAACACTTCGTCATAAATTATTGTTCAAACATGGTTGCAATATTTTTTATGCAATATTCCATTTATATTAGTTTTTGCTTAGACCATACAATAGAAATTAGGGCGGTCCGGTTTCGATCTAGAAAGAATATTGAATGCGCTTTAGCGGCGTTGTGTGTGACGGCGGGCATTGTCGCAATGCACGTGTCACGGCCGCGCTGTGGTGAATGTTCGAGGAATGCATGCGTTACCTAAATCAAATATAACCTATGGAACTACGGCATTTACGGTAACCATGTAAGTTCAACTTGGGTCAAACAATGTAGAAAATATATATAAAAGTAAACAATCTAATTGAAAGTAGATGATATAAATTTTAGCTATTATTTTTGTAAATTCCTTCTTTACTTTTAGGTTTTTTTATCGTTCGCTTTTTATGTGGGTAGGTTCGCTTAAATCACTGATTCGTTCTGTGACAATAAAAATTAATTTATTCTCTCATATTGCTTTTTACATATTATTTATGATTAATATTAACTAAAATATATCAGTAGATAAGGTATATTTTTGGATTTAAAAGAAACGTTGAAGATATAATTAATTAATTTGTTTTCATAACATTTAACGTAAAAAGCGCTTGCCACAAAAGTTCCATATCAACGTACGCTAAGGTTATCGTTTTCATAAATCAATTGACTGTCTCATTTTTAGTTGTCAATTACGAGATATGATTGCAAATAGATCTATTAATGAGATATCTATCGCAGCAGCGAATGAACGGACTTCAATAAAACTGTGAAATGTACAGAAATTAAAGTTTCTGTTTAAAAATAACTTAAACGTCCTTGTAAGTAATTCGTATCAGACACTCCCATTTGCTCCAGTTTCCGAACCTCGAATACTTTCACTATCATTGTAAAGTTACACAATCGTGTGTATTTTATGTTTAAAATTAATTAATGACGTCACTCTTTTTATATAATTTTAATAAAAAGATAGAAATAAACTATGAAGATTCTATGATTTGGTTATATACTACAAGGAGTTTCAACCTAATCTTACTTCTTACTAATATTTTAAATGCGAAAGTTCAGATGGATAGATGGATGTTTGTTTGAAGATATCTCCAGAACGGCTGAACGGATATCGATGACATTTGGCATACATATAAAATATACTCTGGAAAAACACATAGGTCACTAATTACGGTTTTTTTTTTCACTCCGCGCGAACAGATTCGCGGGCGACAGCTTGTATGGAATATATTTTTACAAAAAGGAAAAGTAAATATTTTATACACTCTAATGTATTTATTATAAATATACATAAATACTAGATCTCTATTTATAATTTAATTTTTGATAATTTTATTCATAGTATTCAAAGCAGCATGCATTGTAAA